TCTGACGCCTCCTACCAGATCTTACCAACTGGTATCACTTCCTGCCAGCCACCAATAGTGTTTCATCACAACCCCTATATCACTCCTTACTAGGGAAGGTCGTCAGGTCGAAGTGGCCATTTGTAATGAGATGTAGCTCACTAGACGTGGTTTTGGACGCTGATCTCGAATCTGCCTTTGAAATTTGCAGAAGCGATTCTCTGAACGGAGTTATGGAGCTTTTTCCACCGCGTTTACCACGCAACAGGTCGTGGGATCGGATCCCTGCTGAGCTTAACTTTTTTGCTTCTTGTGCAAACGTGGCAAAAAGTGGTTGTGGCGTCACTACTACATTAGCGCTCTCCTTGACTTGCCTGAAAAACAGTTTGCGTTCGCTTACTGGCGCGCTTAGTGCCTTATGATCTAGGAGAATTTTTGGATGTACAGGTGCCCTTGGCGCGCAGTGCAGGCGTTTTCGCGCTGAGCGAGTGCCATATTCGTATTTATCGGGGCGAACTACGCCTAGGTAGAGGTTTCTAGCCAAATCTGGCATTTTGACCTGACTTCGAAAAGTGAAGCATCCATGGGTTAGTTCAGTTGATGTTCACACCTATTCAGCTGCAGATACATTCTCCTGCACAAGCCTCGTCTTGCCACTTCTTACGCATTCATGTTGTTACTGCTCCAGTTTTCCTGGTATCTAAAAGCAAATTCCGTCCAAAGACAAGCAATCGACAAGAGACTGGCCCTGGAACTATTGGTGACCATCATTCGATCAACTGCTACCGCACTTTTCAAAGTTAGGTCAAAACCTCACATCTGGCTAGAAACCTGTCCCCAAGGGTAGTTTTGCTCCCTGAACACGAATATGGCACCCATTTGGCGTTTGAGTGTTTTCTAGACTTAAAAGAGACATTCCCCACAAAATGCAAAACAAGTTCCCTTCCAGAAATCCGAACCCTTCATGGCATGCCCGCGAAGCAAGACCATTACCACTACACCATGCCGCCGTTGAACGTAATGGTGCTTCCCGGCTATTCATGCGAATGGCTGGCAACCGCGCTCGACTCTGTTTTCCTTCATTTTAATTCTAACAAACCTTCATAATTCCGTTCAGAGAATCGTTCTGCAAATTTCGAAGGCAGATTCGAGATCAGCGTCCAAAACCACGTCTAGTGAGCTACATCTCATTACAAATGGCCACTTCGACCTGACGACCTTCCCTAGTAAGTATTGTTTCTTTCGTGAAATGCGAAGATCGCGAGAAAGGTGAGTCACGGAATAAAATTCCAGCCGAAATCTTACTGCACTTGTGTATTCGAAGCACTCCATACACCATCACGGTGGAACCTTCCCAGCCTCTCA